AAACTGACCGGATTCCCTCTGTTACATCCGTCTATGCCGCTAATCCGTTAATTAAACCCACAAGCTAGCAAAATGAGTAAAAAACAAACGTCTTTGGAAAGTTTCTTTGCGAAGGGGAAAAGGCCCAGTGAGGAGACAGAAGAAGAGCCTACTACGACTTCCAAGAAAAAAAAAGCTGCATTTAACAGACAATACCATGAGTCCTACTTAAAATATGGATTTATCGCGACAGGTGATGCCCGCGCACCAAACCCGCTCTGCATAATATGCGGCAACCGGCTCTCTAATGAGGCAATGAAGCCTTCAAAACTGCTTCACCAAGCACCCTGCATTAAAAGACAAGCCTTCTGAGTATTTTGAAAGAAAAAAGCATGAACAAGAAGGACAGAAGCAATTCCTGAGGGCCACCACATCAACAAATGCGAGTGTACTGAGAGCATCATACTTGGTGGATAACCGTATTGCTAAGGCTAAGAAGCCATTCACCATTGGTGAAGAATTGATCCTGCCCGCCACTAAAGAAATTTGCCATGAACTTCTAGGAGAGGCTGCGGTTAAAAAGATAGCACAGGTGCCTCTTTCGGCTAGCACCGCCACTCGGCGCATTGAGAAAATAGCAGAGGACATTGAGACAATTGTTGGAGAGGATTAATACATCACCGTGGTACGCACTCCAGGTTGACGAGTCAACAGATATTGACAACAAGGCAATACTACTTGTTTATGTGCGATATCTTTATCAGGAGGATGTGCATGAGGATATGTTATGTGCTCTATCGTTGCCAACCAAAACCACAGCCGCAGAACTATTCAAGTCGCTGGATGATTATATATCAGGAAAACTGAAATGGTCCTTTTGTGTCGGCATATGCACAAAGGGAGCTGCTGCCATGACTGGACGGCTGTCTGGTTTAACTACTCGGATTAAGGAGGTTGCACCTGAATGTGAGTCTACGCATTGTGTCATTCACAGGGAGATGCTGGCGAGCCGAAAAATGCCACCGAACTTAACGCATATTGAATGATGTTGTTAAAGTTATTAACCACATCAACGCACACACACTTAACTCACGCCTGTTCGAGCAGCTTTGTGAGGAGAGGACGCGGAGCACAGACGCCTTCTGTTATACACAGAAATAAGATGGTTATCCCGAGGGAGACGCTGGCCAGAGTGTTTGAATTACGAGAGCCGCTGCAGAGATTTCTCTCAGAAAAAGTCACAGCTGGCAGCACATTCAGTGGCGAGAATGGGTCGTAAAACTTGCTTACTTGTGCGACATATTTCAACCTGCTCAATGAACTCAATCTGTCACTTCAGGGGAAAATGACGACTGTATCAAGTTGCAGATAAAGTAGCTGCATTAAAGCCAAACTGGATTTGTGGAGTGACGTGTGTAACAGAGGTATATTTTGACAGTTTCAAACATTCGCAGGGATTTTGGAAGAGACTCAGCCGGAGCATTTCATTTTCCCAACTGGTGCATGATCACCTGTCTTCGCTTTCAAAAGAGTTCGAGCGTTACTTTCCCAAACCGCAAAAAAGGACCCACGAACTGAAAAGGAAGGATCCGCGACCCATTGTCAACAAACCGGCGAATCCAGCATGGTCGCGCAAGAAGAGATCAGCTGGGAGACGCAATGACCTGCGGCCGAAAGATGTAATGTTCGAGACAACAACTCTGCACCGGTGTTCTGGATTAAAGTCACGGCAGAATACCCTGAGATCGCCACAACAGCACTAAAACCCTGTTGCCATTTCCCCGACATCCTATTTGTGTGAAGCGGGATTTTCTGCAGTGACAGCAACCAAACACATTACGGAGTAGACTGGACATAAGCAACACACTTGGGTGTCATTGTCTCTCATTACCAGATGGGACCGGTCTCGTTGCAGAGAAAAAAGCTCAGGGCTCCCACTGTTTAGCGTTTTGGTGAGTTGTATTTTTCATGCACTTCATATTTGTTTTTGTGATGTATCTTATTTTGAAGGCATGTTTAAACCATTATCATAGCGACCCAGAGAGTGTTAGGGGGCAGAGAGGATGTTACTCATGTTATGTTGGTTTGGTGGATGTTACGAGGTCGCTGATAATGAAAGTTGCATACGAGTAACACAGTGGGGATTTGCCTTTATTTTATAATTTAGAAAATACCACAGTTTTTATGCGGTCGTATCATTTATTATGTGTATTTATCCGCCACACCTTACAGGCGTCCGTGAAATTATTATCTGACATTAAAACGGTCTGTGGGCGCAAAAAAGGTTGGGGACCGCTGCCCTAACGCTGTAAATATCCGGCATGATCGCTTGAAAGGTTGGAAGCTTTGTTTCGCTGAAAGGCTGGCAGAAGGTGCGGCCATAGGCTCGGGCGTGGTTACTAGGGTTAGTCCCTACTAAGCGATACCTCAGGGAAGAAAAGAAAAATCTCCAAGATGAAGTGTTTTGGGAGGTATTGTTCTGTGTTAGAGTTTTACGTCGCTACAGGGGTACTTTGAGGTCTTTGACTCTGCAGACCGTTTGACATGTGCTCAGACTTGGACACGTCATAACACACAAGGGGACGGGTAACTAACCGAAAAGCCATGACATGGGACCTTTAATATGTTCATGAACTCACTTAAACGGGGAAGAAATCAAGCTAACTCAGGTTCCAACCGCTCCGCCGCGGCTCGCAAGAGATATTACAATAAAATGTTTATAAGTGTAATCATTTTTTTAAATTATTATTAATAATGACGGGGTTGCATAGACCGTTTATTAAAGGGGCGGGACTGGGCGCCATCTCTATAATCTTCCCCGCAGCGAGGCTCCCCCCGTTGATAATCCCACTACGCAGTGTTTGTCTCAAACCTTTTCATACCAAGGGACCACTTAACTAATAAACAAAGGCACTCACGGAACACCTAACTCCAAATATCCAAATCAATAGGCCTGCCTTCCCGGCACTCCACAGTACAGAACAGCCTAATAAATGACAGCTTAACCTTCCTCTATATCGCCTCGTTCACACAATAAGTCCAACATAC